ATTCCTACAGTCACCAAACAGCTAGTCTCACCAATTCACAGCTCTGGTGCATGGTGAGAGATACCCAGTTTAAACCAATCCCTAAGTTAGTTTTAAAGTTTTTAGGGAAGAAGTGTCCCCTTTACACTTTAGTTACTTAGCAGTGCAATTATTTGTGTCTCTTGCTGCTAGAGTGAACTTCTTGAGAGCAAGGCCCTCGTTTTCTTTAGAGTTGTCTCCAGTTTGACGCGGAAAGGAGCGAAGTTACAGAATACTTCACACAAATCTTCATTTTAAAAATATTCTCCAACGGTGGTTACCAGGGAAAAGGGGGGGTGGGGGGAGGGCACAAAGAGGGAAGTGGTGTAAAACTCCAACACTCATTCGTGATAAAAACTCTCAGCAAACTAGGAATAGGGAGGAACTTCCTTACCTTGACGAAAAAACATCTACAAAAGGCCTACAGCTAGGAGGATTGACAGCATATCACGGTGGAGTGAGCGCTTCCCTTAGACTCTCCCCCCCTAAGATACTATGAAAAGTATACACTTACTTTTAAGTTAGTTACTTTTAAGTTAAGTTAGTCACAACATGACTAACAAAAATGTACAACTGAAATCTCACAAGGTTGTAAACTATCACAACATTAATAAAAAAAAAAAAAGATATTCTCCAAAAGTACCACAGGCAGGAAGTGTGTTAAGCAACTGTGCTATATTGTCCGAACACTGCAGTGCAGGCCTAGTGTTCTGAGGCCGTGGTAACCCTGGAAGGCTGGGCCTGCAGGCCGTTCTGATGACAGCAGCCCCTACTCTGAAGCTGGAAGTCTGCCAGAAGGTCGGGATGGAGCGCACAGCATGCACTGAAGTGGCTCTACCAGGCAGTTTACGATCCGGGGTCTGGGTCACTCCCCTTCCATATGGGCAGTATGGTTCATGGCTAAGAGTGTAGGCTCTTCTATTAGTCTGCTCAGACCGCCATAACAAAATAACAGACGGGGGAGCTTAAACAACAGAAATTTATTTTCTCACACTTCTGGAAGATAGAAGTCCGAGGTCAGGGTGCCAGCATGGTTGGTTTCTGGTCCGAACTCTCATCCTGGCTGGTAGCTGGCTGCCACCGTGTCCTCACATGGCCGTTTTTCTGTGCTTACACATAGCACTGGATTGGGGGGGCCGGAAGCGAGCCATCTGGCGTCTCTTCTTAGAAGGACACTAATCCTATGGGATCAGGGCCCCACCCTTACGACCTCATTTAACCTTCCTTAGAGGCCCCATCTCCAAATATAGCCGCACTGGAGGTTAGGACTTTAGCACAGGAATTTTAGGAGGACACAAGCATTCAGTCTATAACAGCTCTAGATAACTATCTGGCTTTCAGTCCCTACTGTGTTACAAACTAGCTCTGTGACCTTAAGGAAGTTCCTTTAACTTTCCTAAGCCTCAGCCATTTCGTGGTAAAAATGGGGGCAATAATGGTACCTGTCTCTGGGCATTGTAAGGATCAATCAAGATCACTTATATGGCGGGCTTGGTGAAGGGCCCTGCGTATATAGGTGTCACTGATTGTTAACATTAGTACCAGGGTTCTCTAAGCTCTGAGAATGAGTGCTGTCTGAGGTAGTCCTGGGAGTCCAGTCTGGCCTGGATTCCAGGACTAGCCCAGGCTTGTGTGAATGGGATGCCCAGACCAGAAGAGTTCCAGGACTCCCCAGTAATACTCAGGGGAGCCCAGCCTCTTCAGAGCCAGGTTAGCCTTTAGAGATTCCCAACACAGAAGTGGAAAAAGACAGATTGAGTCGTGGAGGCAGCCCAGGGGTTCTAGAGAAGGGACGAGTCTTATAGCAGCTCCATCGCCGCCTCCCTCGTTCATCTCCTCCCAGAAAGGATGCAGAGGTAGGAACTGAGCCTGCTGGACCTGAATGGAGGGTCACAGGGAATTCCTTCTGGCTTCTTTTTAGCTTAAAAATAAAGCTTTTTAACATAACTTTCCAGATTATAAAAGGCAATACAAGTTTATTGTATATAGTTTGAAAATAGAGAAAACTATGAAGACCATAAAAATCACCTGTAACTCTTCTGCCCAGAGTTAATTCTGATAACCTTTCCTTTAGGTCAGACAGACCTGGATATGAAGCCCATCCTTCCTGTGGAGTTGTGTGATCTTTAATGTGCTACCTGTTCTTTCAAAACCTCTCTTCATCTTAAAATAGATCTAACGTTCTTGCCTTCTTTCTTCTCAGGGTTTCTGTGTGGGTTAAATGCATGTGAAGTGCCAGGCACTGGGTGTTAGCTGTTGCTCTTTTTCTATTGAAGAAGATGCCCATGGCTTTGATTCCAGCATGAAAGCTCAGACAAGAATCCCCAGTAAATCATTATCACAGCAACCTTCCAGGTTCTCCACCTTCCAGGTGTGTGCTATGAGCGTGCATTCTGGATTAATAAGCAAATCAATATTCTCATTTACAATATTGACATAAGGGCTATGCAGCAATTTCCTACCATAATAAATATTCCTATTTTTCCTCTTAAAGCTGCTTTAAAAAGTGAGGATTATGTATTTGCACAGAGGATTAGGTGTGTGTCTTCTTTCAGCAACTCCTACCCCCAACACCATCTCCTTCTTCTCACGCAAACTGAGAACGTGCATCTCTCCTTTCAGGTCGCATCTGGCGTTGGCTTTGTAATAAGAGAATGCATCTCTCAGGCTTTCTGGGCCTCCTTGGGCCAGAGCAGCTGCGTCCATCACCTGAGAACCAAACTCATTTCCTGAATACTGTGTATTAAATTAAAACTCCAGTTTTCAGATTTTAGGACAAAAGATCTCAGACGTGTTCTGCTTCAGACAATAGGCTTGTGGCTGTAACGGTCCCTGCCTTCCCGTCTCTCCAACCTGACTCCTCCCCACTGCCTCTCTGCCCAGTGCCTTCCACACGGAGAGGGGTCCCTCCTCCCCAGAGGTTGGAATGATACCTGGCAGGGAGCAGATGTTCATGAGGAACAGCTGTCTCTGTATAAGGGAACGGGGCTCACTCCCAGCCACCTGTCTGTTTCCCAGCATCGCCCCCAGCAGCAGCCCCCAAAGGGCCAGCCTATCCTAACAGCAGGAGAACCTGGCAGTTGAGTCTGAATAGGCACTGTACACTTTCTTAGTGTTCAGACTCCAGGCACTCCAGCCTGGCTAACTTGGCAAAAGAACGAGCCAACTGCTTACCAACTGTGTCTAGGAGAGCAGGTTAAGCTCTCCAGATATCTGACTTCTTTCCTTATAAGAGGTATTCCTTCAGCAGATTCCGAGGCCTTTTCATCCTGGGACACAGCCTTCCTGTAACTTGCCTCGTGGCAGGCAAAATGAAATGACAAGGACGAGGGAAATTTGCTGCCTCCTTTACTCTGTTCACAGTGATTTGCTATATTGGAAAAGGGACAAAAGTTGATCATTATCCTGGACATAGAGTTGCCAGATATCCCAGAAAACAAATATGGAATTGGCCTAACACTCATTGCTTTAAACCATTTTGATTGTGTTAGAGTGCGACAAGTAGATGAGGCCATTCATTCATTTGCTCACCAGTTTTGAGTATCCTGTACTGGATGCTGGGGGTGAGGAGGGGACAGAAACGGAGATCATTGATTACGCTTTTGCCTTTGAGGACCCTAGTCCAGAGGTGGAGATAGACTCCACTCTTTCCTTAGAGTCCTGGCTAGAACTCCCTTTGTTGAATAGCAGTAGTAAGAGTGGACATTCCTGCCTTGTTCCCAATCATAGGAGGAAAGCATTCAATCCTTAATCATTAAGTCTGATGTTAGCTGTAGGTTTTTGTAGATGTCCTTTATCAAGTTGAGGAAGTTAATTTCTATTCCTACTTTTCTGAGAGTTTTTATCATGAATGAATATTGAATTTTGTCAAGTGCTTTTTCTGCATCAACTGATGTGATTGTGTGACTTTTCTTTTTTAGCCTTTAATATAGTGGATCCCGTTGATTGATTTTCAAATATTGAACCAGCTTTGCATCCCTGGAATAAATCCCACTTGCATGGTGTATAATTCTTTTTACCTATTGCTGAATTCTCCTTGCTAATATTTGTTAAGAATTTTTGTATCTATGTTCATGATGGGTATTACTCTAGGTTTTTTTTTGTGCTGTCTTTGTCTGGCTTTGGTATTGGGGTAATACTGGCTTCATAAAATGAGTCGGGAAGTTTTCTTTCTTTTCTAATTTCTGGAAGAGATTGGCATTAATCCTTCTCAAAACATATGGTAGAGTTCTCTAGCTTTTAAAAATATTGATTCTGGAGACCCAATCTGGACCAAATAAAGCTGAATCTCTGGGGGGTGGGGCTTGAGCATAGATACTTTACAAAAGCTCCTCAGATGAGCTTCTTAACGTGCAGCCAGCTGTGGAGCTTCAGTGTGCAAGTGGACTTCTCAGGGCAAACACTGGATGGTGGACTGAGCAGAATCCATCTGAGGAATGACATGAATTAAGCAGCTGTGAGGCCTGGAGAATTTGGCTCTCTGAGATGTGCACCAGGAGCCTCTGCTATCTTCAGGATCATGTGGTATACTTGGGACATTGGTCATACAAAGCATCTCAGTTTGACTTGGCTACTTAATAGCCATAAATTCCTTACTTAGCAGTTTCAGCTTTCTCATCTGTAAAATGCCACCCTTAGGGTTATTTCGGGAATAAAATGAGACTGTAGATATAAAAATGCTTCAGAACCCACACAACGTTTCCAGAAGGTAGAAATTGATGTTTGTTTGGGCCCCAGCTTCACCCTTACTGCCACTAAGTCATGATTCTCAGTAAGTCCCGCTGTAAAGTCAGTGGGAGGCTTGTGACACCCAGTTGGCTGTAGGACCAGTGCCCTCAGGCTGTGGAGAAACTTCCTCCCCATCCCCGCTCACTTACTCTGCCCATGGAGTTTGGGGGGCCTCTGAGAGGAAGAGGTGGGATCTTGGTTACAGTGAAAAGGGGCTTTGACCTTGACTGGTGCCTCCCTCTCACCTTCTGTAGGAACATGCTTGCCAATTCAGCCAGTGTGCGGATTCTCATCAAGGGAGGCAAGGTGGTGAACGATGACTGCACCCACGAGGCTGATGTCTACATTGAGAATGGCATCATCCAGCAGGTGGGCCGTGAGCTCATGATCCCCGGAGGGGCCAAGGTCATTGATGCCACTGGGAAACTGGTGATCCCTGGAGGCATTGACACCAGCACCCACTTCCACCAGACCTTCATGAACGCCACGTGCGTGGACGACTTCTACCACGGGACCAAGGTAATTCTCCTGTTTGCCAAAGATGCTTTCCCCTTTGACCTCTTCTGTTTTGGGGGCTGCTCCAGACCAGACTCACATGAACAGGATGCTCCCACTGTATTGATAAAAGGAAAAGGGTGCTCTCAAGGGGGCTACTGTGATCACTAAAATAGCAAAGTCCAGGCTAGATGTCATAGATTTCCAGGATTATAGAAAAGAAGATATTTAGACCTATTTTGCTGATCACCTCACTTACCTTTGTACCCAGGCCAGGAAGTGACATTGTTTTTAAATTTTTATGTCGTGTAATACAGACCTAGAAGAAGAGAATTAGCTGGTGATTGTTATTGTGCCTGTGTGTGGCAAGGAGTGGGGGTTGATCTGATGGATTTCTTTATGATGACAAGCTAAATTAATTCCCCAAAGATTATGAAAAGTAGATATGCCTCTTCTAGGTGATTTTAATAGCAGAAATTATGAGGCAGACATAGCTGGCTATCTTCTATTATCTCTTCTAGCTTGTTCATTATTTTTAAGAACAGCTTGAAAAATAGTGGCGGTGAGTCCTCTTTTCAGAGGGAGTTGTCATAGACAATATTTAACAGTCATTGAGCTGCGCCTGAGCTAACGTATGTGCCTGAATGCAGAATACAAAAATTCAGACCTGTGAAACAAATGAAGTAGGAGGAAATTATATTTTGCAAAAAGAGTCGCAAGTGGGTTCTTTTACCCTTCTGCTGTGCTCCAGAACCTCTGTCATTGCTGTCCTCCCTCTGCATTTTAATTATGTGTCACATGCCAGCCTCTCCCTGGACAGCAGACTCTGGGCTCATTAAGGGCAAGGCCTGGCAATATTCTTCTGCTTTCCCAGAGCCTGGCACTGACCTAGAACTAGAGTAGCTACCCAGTAAATGTTTATTGAATAAGTGAGTGAATGGTGCTTATCCATGTGGGTCTCTATACCCAGCTATGCATCAGATTCACCTATGAAGATTTTTTTAAAGGTAGAATTGAATCAGAATCTCAAAGGCCACAAGTACCTGACCCTGCCAGAGCCCCTTGTACTGTCTTATTTACACAGGATGTGGCCTCTAATGCTCCTTGGGTGAAAGGGATCAACCAGCTCCTAGCTCAACGGCTGCGGTCCTGTGTCCTACTTTGGCTCACAGCCTCAAATTCCCAACAGCCTGCACCTTAAAATCCCACCTTTGTTCTACCTGGAGTTCTCAGGATGCCCCTCTCCCATGCTCAGGTATCTCCCCCTCGGATCCATCTTCCTGGGGCCTCAAGTACTCCTGCTGGTAGGTGGTGACTGATGAGGCTCCCCAGAGCCCTGGCTGGGGCGGGCTTTGCTGCAGGGGCAGGCAGGGGCTGACCTTGGCGGGGGGGTGGGGGGGGTCACAGTTCTATGGGCCAGCCCAACTCAGGCAGATGGCCCTTAAGGTCTCCCTGAGGATATGCCCCCTTCCCAGTCTCGGAGCAGCAGACCAGACCTCTGGAAGACTGAGCTGAGAGGAGTCACGGTAGCCATGGCCCAGCCCGTGCTAAGGCAAGGATGCTCCCAGGCCTAATACTCTGGCATCTGAGGCCATACCTGTCCACTCTAGCTCAACTCATGAAAGAGAGACAGTAGGTGAACCCTCCCTACTTTCTCCTCTGAGAATTCCCCTGGGTCCTGCAGGTGATGCTTCACTGATAACATGGGGAGCCCTATCCTCATAAACTCTGCAGGGTCCTCTTGCAGGGCACCCTAGTGGCAGTCAGGACCTTTCTGAATTGACTGAGCCTATCCAGTTCACCATCCCCACGCACTTGAGCCAGGCCAGGCCAGGCCTGTTTAACTATGGTTATTTTTCTGTGATTTTTATTGAAATATAACATATATAGGCATAAGTGCGCAAATTGTAAGTGTACAGAATTGTCACAACTGAACACACCCTTGTGACCAGCACCCAAATCAAGAAACCAAACATTGGCAGCACCAGAAGCCCCTCCCAGTGACTACTCCTCACCAAGGACAACCACTATCCTGACTTCTAATACCATAGGTTTTTGAAAAATAACACCTTAATTGAGATATAATTCATACACCATACAGTTCACCTATTTAAAGTGTAGAAGTCGATGGTTTTTAGTATATTCACCACAGATTGGTTTTGATTGTTTACTTTATGTAAGTGAAATCAGGCTCTGTGTACCCTTGTGTTGGCTCCCTTTGCTTCACCTTATTTTTGTGAAATTCATCCACGTTGCACTTCATTCACTTTCGTTGCTTTATAGTATTCCACTCTGTGAGATACTACGTAGGACTTACCCATTCTGCTATCAGTAGACATGTGGGGGCTTCTAGTTTGGGGCTATTAAAAACACTGTTGCTGTGAACGTTCTTGTACATATCTTTTGGCAAACATGCATGCACACATTTCTGTTGGGTGTATTCCTAGGAGTGGAATTCCTGGGTCAGAGGGTGCGTGTGTGTTCAGATTTAGGACATACTGCCAAATCGTTTTCCAAACTGGTTAGAATAGTGTATATTCCCAGCAGTAATGTAAGAGAAGCCACAGTATTTACCATCAACACAACTCTGATAACCACACCAGTCCATGCTGGGGTCCATGCTGTGCTATGCTCAGGCCTGCACCAAAAGTTGTAGCTTTCTCTTTGTTGTCCCCACTTGGGAGAGCTTTAGTCTAGGATTGGATGGCATGCAATCACCACGCTGTGTTCCAGCCTCTTGGAGGACAGACTTGCCTTCTTTGTCTTATTTTCCACATTGTCATCTGCCCAGGCCTCATTAGCCAGGAGCGAGGGGTTTTCCCCAGGGAGCCTTCAGCTCTTTATAGCCAATGAAACCTCTGCACATGCATCTTTGTGCAAGGTGGTGGGTAACTCTTGATCTTTTCCAGGCTTCTCGTCCATGGGAGCCGCTGCTCCTGGAAAACACAAAAGCACCTTTGTGATTAAAGGCCCGGCTCTCCCACTTCCTGCAGGTTTCAGCTACCTTAGGTACCCCTAGTCTGTGTCAGGCCCATTTTAAAGGCCCATAGACCCCAAGCCACCCTGGTGTCACCTAAACCAACCCTTTGTTGTATCCATCCCCTAGCAAAGATCAAACCTTGAAGTCCTTGTGCCGCAGCCCTCATACTGAGCATCTGTTTCGTAACACAGCCCCGAACCAGTCCTCCGGGACCTCTTCAGTAGACTCTGCCCAGAGGCCTGCCTCAGGCCCCCCAGCCTCCCAAGAACCGGCTTCCAGCCCCGACACCTCCTCCCCTCCACTCCTGGATTTCCCCTCCACCTTGGTGCTCCTACAGCTGGATTCTTGGGCTTCCTCTTTCCTCTAGTTCCTGACAGTCTCCTGGGAGAGAAAATGCCCTCCTGTTGCAGTGCTGCTCCGAGACTTGTGGATTTAATTATTCACACAGCCTGTGGCACTCGTGCAGAGGCTGTGCACTCGGAGACTGACGCTGACCTACTTTGAACATTCTAAGAAAGGTAGCAGTTGATTCGCCTTAAGCATCTGGTTTATAATAGAATAATAATCCCGAGGAAAAGCTCACCAAGTGATTAGCCTAGAGAGAAAGAGAGATCAAGTTGCATCCTTTTGTTCTTTCCCGACAGACCCGCGGGGACTTGAACTCTGCACCCCCTAAGCTGTTGCATGCTTGTCAATTTGGCAGCAGCAGCCAGGGCTGGGAAAACAAAGCAGTTGAAAGCCTGGCTTTTCTGAGAGCATCTGGGTCTCCATTGTACTGGGTCTAAAGGGATTTCTCTAGCACTTCTCTAACAAATGCTTCGCCTGCTTTCAGAGGCTGTGGCAGGCTCTGCCTGGCTGCCCTGGCTCCGTTGCTGCTCACAGCCGGTCACTTGATCTTCCTCCCTGCCTCCCCCACACCCTCCCACCCTGCAGACCCGCCCTCCCCAGGCCCAGAACCCGGGTTTCCAGAGGTGCCAGACCCCATTGAAGAAGGAGGCTATCTCCTGTGGGGAGGCAGGGGGAGGAGGGGGGCGGGGACAACCGGTAACACCAACTGTGTTTATCAAGGTCTAGGATTTCACTTGGGTCACGGGGTCTCTTACTATTATTCTGCTTAACTTACTTACATTTATTCTTTTGTGTGCACCTAATATTACATAATAAAGAATGTTAGTGAGGCTCTTGACCTCCATCCCACAATGGCTCTCTATGGCCAGGTGGGAATATCAGAATCAGGCTTTTTAAACTCTAGGCACAGCCCCTTCACTAAGATGTTGATAAAGGGGGCGGGCATGGGCAATGGAAAAAAGCTTTCTTAGCCTTTCTGCCTCCCACTCCTCCAAAAATATTTTAAGAACCACTGTCTAGGCCAATGGTATGCAACCCTTAGGAGCAAATTAAATTAGAGCTACTTGGGGAATTTTTTAAAGACACCAGTATCAGGCTCCATCCCAGACCAATGAAATCAATGTGTCTAGGTATGCCTCTTCCCCTATCAATATATATGTTGAGAGATATAGATAGATAGATACATACATACATACATATGTACATATATACTTTTTTTTTTCTTTTTTTGGTAAGGAAGATTGTCCCTGAGCTAACATCTGCGGTAATCTTCCTCTGTTTTGTATGCGGGATGCCACCACAGCATGGCTTGATGAGCTGCATGTAGGTCTACATCCAGGATCCGAACGTGCGAACCCCGGGCTGCCGAAGCAGAGCGCTCGAGCTTAACCACCAGGCCCCTGGGCCGGCCCCCTTATCAGTATATTTTTAAAGCATCCCTGATGATTCTCACACTGACAGGTGGATTTTTAAGGAACTTTCTCAGCCATTTTGAATGCCGTGGTGTCCTGACTGTTACTTCTGTTGCCCATCTGACCCTCCCCTTATGTGCCAGGCTGACATCTGAATTCCCTTTGAAAGCTTGGGCCCGCCTTGCCAGTCCTATTTATTTGCTTCTCTCCTTCTAGTCACATTCCAGGGTCCCATCGTTGGGTTCCCAAACTCCAGCCTGGGGCCTAGAGCCCCTGAAATTGCC